CCTGTATTACTGGGGTAGTGCTGAAAATATGTCATTAAGGGCTGGCTAATTTAATCTACTGGTCATCAAGTTACTGACTGGATAAATAATTGATGGATATATGTTATATTGGTATTTCAACACACAGTCTCCTAGAATACTGGATGTGATGCACATATGGACCTGTCTGCTTTTTGCGTAAGGCTTTAAATTTGTTTTTAGAGATGGGATTGAGGGAAAAGCAGGAGCAAGTAAAGTACATAGAGGTGGTAACTCCAATTAGCAAAGGCATAAATTATACTGTGGCTTCAATTTTGGAAGAAATCTCAAACACTGCAACTAAAGACACCAAATTTGAATACCATTTAGAGCTTTCACATGATAATGTTTTCTTTATTTTTGCCAAGAAGTCAAATTAAAAAGGTTTTTTATATAATCTTAGAAATTGGCAAGATCTTTTAAGATTCTCTTTAAGCACAAATGCACAGAGGGGTTGGGTTTTCATCTTCATCCATGATGGAGTAATTGAAACTGGATTAACTTCCCCACCATAAACAATTATTTTCTGGACCAAAACAAACAAAACAAAACAAGAAAAACCAAGGCAATATGTTTCAAGAACTGGATAGCACATAGTACAAGTCTATGATGTTTGAGAGAAGGGGAACTTTAAGGTGAGTCCATGTTTACTGTGGTTATTCAAGTGAGGACACTTTGTTGTCCAGGATGCGGGGAGCTTGAGCCTAACACTGAGGTTAAAAGACAGAAATAAGAGTTGAGGGATATAGAAGAAACCGGAATCTGTGGGACAGGTCTCCCTGTGATTTTAAAAAAGAAAAAAAAAATAGTTCAATCGAAGTCAAATAAAGGAAGGTATTTTCAGATAAAAGAAAGGAGAGAGAATTTGAAAGTAGCCAACCTGCACAATGAGAAATCCTACAGGATGTTCTCCAGCACCAAGGGAAATAATGCCAGATGAAAACTAGAATCCACAGGAAAGAGCAAAGAACATTGGAAATGGTATACACACGGGTAAACATGAAAGATTATTTTTCTTGTCTTTTATGAATGTGCATTAATATAATTGATTGTATAAAGCAAATAACATGTAGGAAGGATTTTATATTATACATTGTATAAACATATGACAACAATATAAAAAAGTTGGAGAATACATGAAACTATATCGTTTGTTACATCTGTGAGTTGTACCAGTGAAATGGAAAATGGGAAACATGAATTGTTCTGAAAGTGGGAAATGTCAGTTGCAAAGCACAAAGTGCTTCATTATTAACTCTAAGTAGACAGTTACAAGTTACAGAAACAATTGTTAGCATTAAAGCAAACCCTGGGGGAAAAAATTAAAGGCAAAACTATACATATATATATATATATATATAAAACTGAGTCACTTTGCTGTACACCTGAGACTAACACAACATTGCAAATAACCCATACTTCAATAAAAAGTTTTAAAACACCAAGATGGTAGATTTAAACAAAACATATTGATAATTACATTAAATGTCAAATAGATTAATCACATCAACTGTAAGATTTTTTTAAAAATATAGGTGGATTGGAATAAAAGGATGGAACAAAATATATTACGCAAACTTAAGCATGGGAAACTTGATGTATCTATCTTGATATTAGGCAAAGCCAACTTCAGGACAAAGAGAGAGATTTCATAATGATAAAGCAGTCAATCAGAATAAATAATCCTAAATGTGCACAAAATTAATAGTATAGATTTAAAATACTAAAAGGCAAATTAGCAGAACTAAATGGGGAAATAAGTAAAACCACAACTATAGTTGAAGATGTGGAATATCCTTCTCAGTATTTAAAACAAGTAGACAAAAATACTAGGAAGAATAGTAAAAGACCTGAGCCACCATGAACTAATTCATTTACAGAATACACTGCACCAAATAATCAAAGAACACACATCCTTTTCAAGAGCACATAAAATAATCACCTATATGGATCATATGCTGGGTCATAAAATAATTCTCAATATATTTCAAAGTGGAAAATCTTACAGAGTACAGTCTCCTCTGAGAACCAAATTAAATCATAAATCTACAACAAGATATCTAGTAATTATCCAAATGTTTGGAAGTTAAATAAGAGACAACTAAACAATCAATTGACAAAAAACAAAACCAAACCACAAAGAAAACTTCAAAATTATTTTGAAGTTAATCATAATGAGAAATACAATATACACTAAACTTATTATTTAAGGAGAAAAATTTATTAAAACGATTTATGACCCATGAACTTGAAAACTCATTTTACTGAATGATAATTGCAACTCATAGTTCTACTTTTTTATTTTCTCAATGTGTCATTTTGGGGTTATGTGGAAGTAAAAACCTGCAGTTTCTCAATCTTGGCGTTACTGACATTTGGAGTGAAGAATTTGCTGCTGCTGGGGGCTGTCCTGTGAACTGTAAGATGTTTAGCAGCATCCCTGGCCTCGGTGGCTCCCCTCCTCCCAGCAGTGACACACAAATAACTCCAGACATTGTTAAACATCCCTGGTAAGAGCAGTGGAGGGGAACCAAAAGGAAGAATCGCGCTGGGTTGAGAACCACAGTTAGAACATCATGTTTGTGGTCAAATGTGGGTAGATTTCCAAACCTAACACTTAAACTCCCTGCTTCCATGAAGTTTACTTAATCATTCTAAGTGTCTATATTTATTCATAGGTCTATTTTGAAAAAAGACAATGCATACCAGGAGATTAACATTATGTTTGCCATCATGTCAACTCTCAACATATATGACATGCTCTTATTATCTCTGTTCAACTGTGCAAATACGGAGTATAAAGAAACTCACCAACTAAAATGACATCTTGTTATGGCTAAACTACTTTGAAAAGTTTACTTTAATCTTTATGGTTTATAACCTTGTTTATATGCATTTATCATTATAATTAAAATGTGTCAACCTTCATTTATTTCCCATTAAAATATGCTAATCATAGAAGCAGATTAGGATTAAACAATCCATTATCCTATCAAGTGTCAAATATTATCTTCTTTGATCTGTTGCTCTCTGTGTGCCATAAAAATTGCATTTACCACATCTGGTTGTCGGGTTCTCCACCGTGACATGAGAAAATAGAAATTCTTTGATGATTTAAACATGCAAAATATGAAGTCCTTTAAAAATTACAAACATCAATAATTTTAAGAAATACTTCCCCTTAAATTATTGACAATCTCTAGAATTGCAAGAAAGAAATAAAAACATATTCAAATGATTGGCCATGTCTTTAGGGAGAGAAAAGAGTAAAATAGAAGTAATTCTAACACAGCTCTAGAAATAAGATGATCCTTCTTAAGCATAAATTTAGGCTGATGTTGAGAAGGGATAAGAATAAGATATTGCACAGCTGCAAATAATATAATAGCCCACATATCTTGAAAAAATATTTTTTACTCATACTGGCTTTTACTCATTCAATCATTAACCAAATATTTGTTAAGTGTGACATATACCAATGTCAATACTTTAATGAGTATCCAATAAAACCATAACTTCTTTCTCAAGAAGCCAGTTTCAGAATATAATGAAAGACAGCCTATAGACAAGTGACAGTCAGTGACTTCTGTGAGAGTGAAAAAGAGGTCTGGAGCAATTACAGCTCTAGGAATTAAAGATATGCCATATGAAACATGCAGTTGGTCAAAACCTTAATGAAGTAGTAAAGGGAGGTAAACCTTCTAAACAGGGCACAGAGCAAGAACAAGGCTCTGAAGTGTAGTTAAGCTTGAAATCTTTGGTGTTAATGAGATAGCTGATCTACCAAACAGCCAGGTATGGGGGATTTGAGTTGCAGCAAGATCACAGAAGATCAAGGCCAAGATTAATGTCAGGTGGAAGAATTTTAACTTTACACCCAGCAAATAAGTGTGAAAATTTTTCAGAAGAATTATACCACACAAGTACTTTGTAGAAAGATACATACAGTAACATGGAGGACCATGAATTCCAAATGGAAGACAGAAAAGAAACCCAGAAAGCAATATCGTTTTCAATATTCTTTTCAATTATGAAAGACAAGATGGTGGATTGGATTAGCACATCAACCAGTTTGTGAGTTTGTGTAACCACTTTTAAAGAAAGAGATGCCCACATTTCTATTTTTTAGTTATTCTCATTGATACAAATTATTCCAATGTATAAAATTCAATTTGGGGTGAGAAGCATAGTGAAAAAAACTTTGTTTTACATACACATAAAATATAAAAAAATAGAAAATATATTCAGAGATTATTTTCTTCTGCCTATTGATGACAGAACATCACAATACTTACAACATATGAGGGAGAATATGTTCTTTTGTAACGTCTCTGATTATATGTCCCCCTTAGGACTACTCAAGTAGAAAATAGCTTAGCTAAACAAGAGGAACCTTGTAGCTCTTTTCCAACCCAGATTACACGAAAGCTCTAAACAGATGTGTTAGGGAATAAAAAAATGATAAAATGGCAACTCTATATTTTGGGTAATCTGAGAGTCAACCTTATCACCATTTGTCATTTGATTTTCCTGAGCAGGCATGTGCTTCTTTGTGTATCAGGTACCAATGTCCCACTGCATCAGTGCATGAGAACAAGAGATATATTCCTACTCTTTCCTAAACATGTGAACATTCTCAACTTTCAGGTTAAACAGAATGGTTGCAATTTTAGTTCTCGAGGTAAACATCTATTTTCATATAAATGTTGACTAACATTGTTAAAGTACTTTGCAGTATTTTGGAAATGAAATCAGAAAATATTTTTTGTAAGAGTTCTTATGATTATTTCTTTTAAGCATTCTGATGCAAGGAATTGAAATGCACTACATAATAAAAAACAAAACCAGCTTAAGCTATGAAGAGAAGAAATAATCAAATTGTGTCTGTCCCTTTAGTGAAGTCTATACTGGAGACCAGGCAAAGCTCAGCAAAACAAAACAAGCAACACTCAATATGAACAATTACAAAAATTGGCACTTACCCATATTTTGCAAAATTTGCCCAACGTTTCATAATGGATCTACTCAAAATTTCCTCAGCTTTTGTGTAATTAACTCTTCTTTCCAGAGGTAAACCAAAGACAAATTCAATCTCATAACCATGCATCACTCCCATCCATTCTGGCCAAGGGAGTTTGGAGGATCGGTGTTCAAAATAGTAGAAGAAGGCATCATTCCCCATTTCTGAGAACTTTTTGGTGAACTCCAAGGCAGGGCATATAATGTTATAATCCCCAACAACATCATCCAAGGCTTCACGGTAGTTTTCAGCTCTCTGATCATCTAACCAGTCCATGTAGTGGAAAAGGATTGATTCCTTTCCAAATGCACTCACTCCTGGGAAAAATATTTTTAACCCTTCTTGAAATTCTTTTCTACTTATAATACTGTTGTTATCTTTGCTGAAACCAGGAGCACCATATACTAAAAATGCTGTCCCTTCGTCTTTATTAACACCCACCAAGATCTGGGTTTTTTTGAACTGTCCAAGTTGGAGTAGTGTGCCTGGCATGTCAGTGAGAAAATCACCATCGACAGTTGGACCAAAGTTTACTGACAAGAGCATATCATAGGGGACAACAAATACTTCATTCAGAAGAATTTCCTGGGGATCTTTATTTCGAAGACATTTGATAATCTCAGTCTCATTTTCTCTAGAGCAACCAATAAACTTAGCTAAGGTCAACGTTCTGTTCCTAGCTTCATAAGGAGATGTCACTGCCCAAGGGGCGTTAGACGATCCACTTTGCAGGATGGCTCTGCTGAACAGAGGGTGGCTTCTAGGAGAAAGTAAATGAAAGCTAACTGAAGCTGCTCCCGCACTTTCTCCAAAGAGAGTGACGCTTTTAGGATTTCCACCAAAGGCTGCTATGTTTTTTTGGACCCACTGAAGTGCCAGCTGTTGATCAAATAAGCCCATGTTCCCTGGTGCTTCAGGATTTCCCGGTAAGGCCAAGAAGCCCAGGGCCCCCACCCTATAGTTCATTGAAACCACGATAACTCTTTCAACCCGCGCCAAAAACTTGCCATCGTAAACATGTAAAGATGAAGTTCCAGTCTGAAAACTCCCGCCATAGATCCATACCATTACAGTCGCATTTTTTGGTTTAGGTGCTGGAACCCACACATTCAGATATAAACAGTCTTCACTGAGGTCAGTGTTTGGGTTCCACATCTCGGATCCAAGGAAGCCTGGGAAACTTTGATCTGTTTTCTGACAGCAAGAATTTGCGTATTTTGTGGCATTCCAAATATCAGACCATTTGGTCAAGGACTGTGGCTTTTTGAATCGAAGTCTGCCAAGAGGTGGCTGTGCATAGGGGATTCCAAGAAAGGCTGTTACTGTGCCACCAAGAACTGGCAGGTTCATCCCTCTGACTTTTCCATTCTTGGTGGTAATTATGGTGTCTTCTTCAGTATGTGACTTCCCAACAAGGGCCCAGAGCAGAAGAAACCGCAAGAGAAACTGGATGTATCTGATTGTACCCTCACTCTGCATCTTGGTTTCTGAAAAAGAGGTAAGCAGGCAGTTTTAA